TCTCTGTTTCCCCTTCCTGCAGTAATTTTCCTGCTTACTTCCCCCTTTCCATTCTCTAGGTTTTGTTTTCTCCTATTTTGTTTATTCGATGCCAAGCTTTTGTTCAAGTCCATTTCACACAGCATCCACTCATGACTGCTGGTCTGGCGGTCAACTAACACCTGACTGTAGGAAATTTTGACCGGTCGATATTTTTACTCAACACTGTGCCAAACTTTAAATCTTTTTAATTAAACAATTATAAAGGTTTCCGGAGAAGATTTTCTTTATCATGGAAAAAAAACAAACGGCCCCCGCCAAATATTAAATATCGACTCTTAAAAAAAAAAAGATTACTCCCAAAAGAGGGTGATGGCTATGATAGGTTTAAAGATAAACACACATATATATATGAAAAAAGACATCTCCTTATCGTGTAACTGAAAGTTGCTGATGGCTTGTGCCATCTTTGGAATAAATATCAACTATTCTTGTTGATTTTTAATTATTCCAGAATTGGCCAAATACCCATTCTTGATTAATCAAGAAAAGCTAACCACGGACGCGTTTCGGGCTGTTGGCCCTCATCAGCGTGGTGCAAGCTGTACCTCAATGACCAAAAAACTGGTCATTCAGGCATCCTGAAAAATCATGAACGGGTAGTTAAGGCCAGAATTGCGTGAGACCGCAAACACAATGTGAAAAAAATAGTACAAATGTGATATTGAACTATTTTTTTCACATATATATATCTTCTCTATTTCAAAATGAGAGAAAAATGCTTTCAAATTTCTTTTAGAAAGAACTCTTCAACGTAATGAAGCCATTTATTAAAGTCCTTGCTATTACAGTAGAATAAATATAATACAGTAGAACCTCCATGAGAGAACACACAGACTAGAGGACACCTCTCTACAAAGGACAGTTTTCATTTCCAAAATTTCCATTTTTACTATTTTAGCAGCTCTCTTCGGTAAGAGAGGACACCTCTCTCTATTTTATTGATACCAACTTAAGCTTTTGGGTATCTCTGCCCATATATAATGAATAAGACGCCGCCTAGCATCAGGCGACATTTTATTCAATATATTTATATTATATTTAAAAATTGAGATTTTCTGCTGGATTTTCTTGAAATATACAATTGAGTTTAAGGAATATATAAATAGTTTTGATCAGAGATTTCTTTATTTGAGCTAAGGAATATATTAAAATATATAATTTGATAAAGGTAATGCCTGGCTTAAGGCGTAAGAATCTAAAAAATGAAAAACTTATTTACATAATGTACAAAAGTTTTGAGCCGGCCATCAGGAAACAACAGCAATGATTTTTTATAGGGGAAGTGTGACCTCTGGCGGTCGATTTAACAGAGTATTGGGAATCTATGAAATATAATTTTAAATAAAATAATATTTTAATATAACATATATATACTCCTGTAGAAGGGCATGGATGCCCGAAAGCTTGAGATGGTATTAAAAAAATAAAAAGAAACTCATCTCTGGAAACCTTTAGAATTGTTTAATTATTGTCCAAGTGATTTAAATCTTTTTAAACAAATAGAAATACAGGGTAATAGAAATACAATTATTGTATCGTTCATTCTGTTTATATAGTTATCTGAAGGTTTACTCTTGATAAAGATGGGGAAATATTTGATGTTTGATCCTGTAGGAATTCTAGAGTTCAAAAGTAGAGATAATGGGTGATATAGTACAATGTAATGAAAGGTTACTTCCAGATTTTGTAACTGAATCTCTTGCTGATGACTTTCTATCTACCATTGGAAAATATATCAAACAACTGTTGATTTTTCCAAGGATGGCCGATTCCCCTTTCTTGAAATATTGAGAAAAAACCAACCACTTACATGTTTTAGGATGTTGGCCATCATCAACATGATGCTTGTTGTACATTGAAGACAGCAATGAGGGAGCTTCATCACATATTTTCTATAGATTGGCTTTTTTGTCTGAATTTGACAAACCCGGTGTTGTGCCCCATTCCTTATCATCACTGGTAAAGAAACTTTGCCGGTCCCAAGCCCGGATGAAAAAGGAGGGGGGGGAGCAGTAACAAGCTCACTAAAAAACCTGGGCTCAGCTGGCCTGGCTGATAGTACCCTGTAAGGGCTCCTGATCCAGGGATACAGGATGAGTCTGTACTCCATGTTAAGAGCGGCTGTACGTGGCGTCTGTTCTTCATGTCAGAGGTGGCTATTTCTTGTGAAGCTAAGTCGGTGGCCTGCAACTGAGAGGTGCTCCCAGTCTTAATGACAAAGGCAGATGCATTCTACTTCACCCAGTCATGATGATTGTCAAGTCTCAAGATCTACAAGCTTGATACCCTAATAGGATTGAGTGGAGATAAGAAAGAAGAAGACTAGTAAAGTAATTCCAATTTTTCCTGTTCCAAACACACACACACACAAGCCTGGATGAAAAAAGAGGAGGGGAGCAATAACAAGCTCGCTAAAAAAAACTATGATCAGCTGGCCCGGCTGATAGTACCCTGTAAGGGCTCCTAATCCAGGGATACAGGATGAGTTTGTACTCCATGTTAGGAGCTGGTGCACATGGTATCTTAACAATGGTTATAACAATTGAAATCTTGGGTCCCAAGTAATGTTATTATATCAACTGAAATATATATAGTCAAATCTTACTCGAGTGAACCCCAATGGAACTTTCTGATTCACTATACTCAAGGTTCTTTATAAGGAATTTTATGAATTGGGGTCTGTTTTAGAATCATTATAGGGGGAGGTTTGGTGTATCCCTGGTTAGTTTTAGCAAGGTTTTATTGTACCTGGCTGGAAAATTGTGAGGAACCAAAGTCACTTGGAAAGCGCATTCCCCACTAATGAAGTGAGCCTACTCAATAAATATTTCTCAACCTAACTATTGAGAAAGTAGTTTTCAAACTTTTTTTTTTAAACAAAACTTTTAAAATATTTGCTCAATTATAACGGGTAATTTAGTAGAACAACTTTCCTGTAAAGGACAACACCTAATTGCAGAGCTAAAATGTCCTTTAAGGTGAGGTGTCCTCTTACCGGAGAGTTACTAAATAGTAAAAATGGTAATTTTGGTGATGAAAACTGTCCTTTGTAGAGAGGTGTCCTCTAGCGTGAGTGTCCTCTCATGGAGTATGTTCTACTGTACCAGTGACTTCAGAGTGAATCCAGTCTGTCCTACATTACTGTGCCATCGCCAACACAGGATTTCCTTCCAATGTTCCACATCTGGGAAGGAACTGCTGGCCATTGCTCCCTGCGATGAGCAACTTCAGGTAACATGTACCATCCTCCATGAATTGCTGTGATAGTCCCAATGTTACGGCAAGAAAACAGCATAGAGTTGGTGAGTACCAGTGCCAATACTGTGTACCAGTGCCACACACAGTCATGTCATATCATGACAAGGCACAATTTGGATTATAGATTATAAACACAAGGTAATAAGACCAAATGGTGTTGTGCCCCATTCCTTATCATCACTAATAAAGAAACTCCACCTTTGCCGGTCCCAAGCCCGGATGAAAAAGGAGGAGGAGCAGTAAAAAGCTCACTAAAAAACCTAGGATTAGCTGGCCTGGCTGATAGTACCCTGTAAGGGCTCCTAATCCAGGGATACAGAATGAGTCTGTACTCCATGTTAGGAGCAGCTGCACATGGTATCTTAACCATGGTTATAATAATTAAAATCTGTGTGTGACGCTTCAGTAACAGCATTGTTACCATCTGCATTCAGTACTTTTGTCTGAAGATGGTAACAACGCTGTTACCGAAACGTCACACACTATTTATTTATTTGGATTTGGTCTTATTACCTTGTGATATCATGACTTACTATTACAACAACAAGACTTTATTAAGGACATTCGTCCCATACAGAATTCTCCCATACATAGGTAAACAGAAGTAAACATAGCAGTTATCTATAGAAAGTGGAGATTAAGATCGTCCTTTCTTCAAGTTGGATCCATCATCTGTGTTACATCTATTGTCTGTGCTGTTTTCCTGAATTTATGAAAAGCTTAATGCATTGGGTTTACTTTTCACTACTTTTGACATTAGAACATATGGAGAATTGTTTTCATAACCGATATTTTGACGGAGAATTTCTCTCCTCCTCCTCCAGTGCCAGACAATAAAACGTGTAGTGTGGAAAGTCGTTGCTAAATTCGTTATTGCACAGAGTGGACTTTAAGTTGACTTACTATTACCTGTGTTAATTGATAAGGCACAATTTCGATTATAGATTATAAACACAGATAATAAGACCAAATCCAAATAAATAAATAGTGTGTGACGTTTCGGTAACAGCGTTGATACCATCTTCAGACAAAAGTACTGAATGAGAAATTTTACCACAGCATGTTTTAAATAGCTACTGTTATCTTGTTTATACACTTGATAACAGTAACTCTTTAAAACATGCTGTGGTAAAATTTCTCATTCAGTACTTTTGCCTGAAGATGGTAACAACGCTGTTACGCTGTACAAAGAGCTGATATACATTCTCTGACTAGATATACCTCCAACCTATAGGTGAAGAACAAGATCCCCTTCCCAGGATGCCCCCATCAACCACTGCACAAACCTTTAACTACCATTTGTTGGGTTGGAAGTTGGTTTGGAAAAAAAAACTTTAATAACCAATCATCCTTATAATATCAAGAAAAATTTCTTTTACCTCTGACTTCCCATGGCTTCCTTCCACACCAATAGTTTTAAGATGATTAGGTACAATTTAGGTTATAGATCAGAAAAAGGAAGTACAGTTAAACCTGTCTATAGCGCCCCCTCTAAATAGAGCCTCCCTCTCTATAGCACCCAATTTTAAATACGTAGTACAATGCGATTTACATTAAAAGTGACCTATCTATAGCACCCCTTCTCTATAGCACCCTATTTTTTGGTGAGTCCCAAGAGGGGGCACTATAGGTTTAACTGTAATAACACCCCCCAAATCTATTTGGTATTATTACAGGTTTAATTCCCAACTTTTCTGTGATCCCCTGTAGTCTAGTTACTAGGATATCTGGTTTTCAATCAGAAGGCCCTGGTTTGATTCCCAGCATGGGAACTTTTTTACCACGATTTATTTGGATTTGGTCATATTACCTTTTGTTTCAAATATCTAATTCAAAAGAGTCACTAAAACGAAGTGTCATTTATTGACTGTCTTTGCAAACTAGTCAGGTCCTCCAATAAGAAACATTCCCTTTCCATTAATGAAAGCTTATAAAATTAAAAGCTCTTCATAACAAACATAGGTTGAACAACAACAGCAAGTCTCTGTCCTCAATAGAGATTCTTTAAAAAGAAGTTCTGCTATTTAGTATTTGCTGTTTTACACAAAAGGTTGGATTGATGGAAATGTGTATTTACTCAATTAAAACCTACTTCTGTGGGTTGATTAGATTTTCCTTCTTCCTTCTTCAGTTAATTATGGCCTGAGTGTTTTCCTTGTGATGGGCATTTCTAACACTGGTCTAACAATGGATAAGCAAACCATGTATAAGTTTAGCTGCTATACATTCTTCTAAGTATAGTAGAACCTCCAGGAAAGGAAGCACTCTCCACAAAGGACGGTTTTCATCATTACAATTACCATTTTTACTAATTAGAAGTGGGGGTCGGTGGAAGGATGGTCTAAACCATTGGTTTTCGACCGCTACAACCCGGGTTCTATTCCCGCATTGGGCACTTTTTTATGTTTATAAAAAAAAAAAATGCTTCAATGGCCCCCGATTCTTGCAAAAGTCCAACCCCACCAGCGAGTGCAAGTAACCAAACGGGGCTCTGGCACATTTGTAAGTGCAAAAGTCGTACTGCTTTTCACATGTGTAGCACTTACAGTAAAAGCAGTCGTCTACTTCTACCCACCATGATTATCATGGCCTGTACCACGTGTACTAGGGATAAGCAGGAAAAAGAAGAAGAAGACTAATTAGCAGTTCTCCAGCTAGAGGACACATCATTCTGACTGCTGGAAACCTACCCCTTGTCCCTCCCTCCCAATTACAGGATGATCAATGAGGAGAAAGAAATACAAAAAAAAATCTATCTAATGTATAAATACTTGATCAGAGACACAAGGTAATAAGACCAAATAAATAAATAGTGTGTGACATTTCAGTAACAGCGTTGTTACCATCTTCAGACAAAAGTGCTGAATAAGATAAAATACCACAGCATGTTTTAAATAGCAAATGTTATCAAGTGTGTAAGCAACTTAGCAGGTAAGAAGATAGTTTTCTGATTTGTGCCTTATCATTTGATCAGAAACTTTGGCATTGCCTTCCTAAAACTACTTGAGGGTTATTTCAACCTCAAGAAATATGAGAAAAGGGATAAAAATATATTTTCCAAAAGGCGATAAAGGAAAGTGGGCAGCAACGGTGTAAATGAGAATGGCCTAATTTTTTTGTTGTTGTTTGGGTCTATCTTTAGGGAATCCATCTCATGGAGGAAAATCTGGAAGAAAAAAATATTGAAAGAAAGAAAACTAACACTTGAGGAATCATTATAAAAGTTCATTAGAAGTGACTTGTTTGTTCAATACACACACGTGTATTGTTCCCATTCTGCCTAGCTATACCTAACCCTGGATCCTAAGTCCTGGATCTTTCCAGTTGGTCTCGAGGACCACACCATCACCATCTCCTCAGCGGTGAAGTATGTGATCTACGTTTTCTTCGTAGATCACGAAATACGTGGTGTTCCTGGAGACCTGCTGGTGATTCTCCATCAAACTCTGCAGCGGTGGTAGAGATGCCATGTACATTGTACATAGTGTATATAATGCATATTATCGTATAATGCATATTATAGTGCAGACTGTGCACTTTGAATGTATTGACAAGATGTCAATAAATTATTTTAATTGTCAAAAAAAAATTGTCCATACCTAACCACTGCAGGAAAGGTTGACAGCTTGGATTAAAGGTAATACTTCAATTCTATAATTTAAAAAAAAAAGACATCTCCTGATCGTGCAAATAAAAGTTGCTGATGGCTAGTGCCATCTATTGGAATAAATATCAACCAATCATTGATGATAAGGTACACTTTGGATTATAGATTAGAAACAAAAGATAATAAGTTATGAAAAGGCATCTCTTTATCGTGCAACTGTAAGTTGGTGTTGTAAGTTGTGTTGTAAGTATGTTAAGTTGTAAGGAGATGCCTTTTTCATAACTTATGCAACTTATCCCAGTACAATATCATATTTGTACTATTTTTTCACAAGCTAATAAGACCAAATCCAAATAGTGTGTTTGGATTTAGTTTAGGATTTATTTGGTCTTATGAACTTGTGTAATTAATCATTGATTTTTAATTATTCATTAATTGGCCAAATAACATTTTCTTGATTAATCAAGAAAAGCTAACCACGTATGTGTTTCAGGCTGTTGGCCCTCATCAGAATTTTGTTTGGCATTCTCAAGCCGTAAACTAGTTGCTTCGGATCAGTGACAAAGCCACAACACCAGCTTTGGCTAACAGATAGCATCTACCTGGAGACCATGGTTTCAGGTTTGCTGGTGTTGTGGCTTTGTCACCAACCCCAAGCTGCTAGTTTATGCAACTCTAGACGGCATCTAGCTTTGACATCTATTTTGATGGGAGAGGTGACCTTTATCTTTATGGGAGTTCTTAATCAATAAAAATGATATCAAAACTATGATGGCATAATACTTGCAATCTAAAATTTTGCTGTGGAAATGTCTGGGGAACACAACCAATTTATTCCTAAATGCAGGAAGGTGGAGTAGCTGCCTTGAAGTGAACAACTTTTGCAAACATTGACAGAACACTTGAGTGCACTTTAGAAAGTAGAAAGTGGTTGTTCTCTCCTCTCTCACTCTCTCTGGCGCAAGCCACCAGCAATATCCAGTTGCACCATCAGGAAAAGCCCTTTTTATCAATTTTACCACCTCATCTGGTGATACCTTCTTTCTAGATAGGATCGCCTCTTTGTTGTTGGTCCAGAAAGAGTTCTAAGGGTACTACTCATGGGCCGGATCTCCCCCCCCCAGATCCCGAAATTGAAAGCAAAAAAATATAGATACAGTAGAACCTCCTTGTAAAGGACAACACCTAATTGCAGAGCCAAAGTGTCTTTTAGGAGAGGTATCCTCTTACCGGAGAGTTGCTAAATAGTAAAAATGGTAATTTTGCAAATGAAAACTGTCCTTTATAGAGAGGTGTCTGCTAGCAAGAGGTTCTACTGTATATATGCTTGTTGCTTGTTCTGCTATATTTAGACTGCTCATCTGCTTATTGTATACTTCCTCCTGTCTATTACATACTTCTTACTTTTTTTTCTTGTATTCTTCATTTCTACTTTTTGTATACGCTTTATATTTTCTTTTGAATACTTTTTTATACCTATTGTATACTTATCGTAAAGATAGAGGCTGCCTGGCCCAGCATTCATATTTATATGAAAGATAGACACTTCGGCCAGTTAGAGTTTTTTATTTTCTCAATGTTTCGACAAAAATCTTTTGTCTTCGTCAGGAGAAGTAAATAAAAATAAAGCATTTGGCAAGGTGTTAAAAAAAATTTTAAGAACAATTTTTAACGCCTTGCCAAATACTTTATTTTTATTTACTTCTCCTGAAGAAGACAAAAGATTTTTGTCGAAACGTTGAGAAAATAAAAACTCCAACTGTTGAAGTGTCTATTTTTCATATACCTATTGTATACCTGCCTAAATCTTATATCCTTGTCTACTTCTCATCAAAAATTTCTGATATCTTACTGATTGGTTGTAGATAATATTAGTGAAAGGCATTACCCTCTACCCCTAGCACATTTTCATTTGTTTTTGTGGGTTGGTCATGGTATGTGCATGTACCATGTTAAAAGTATTCAATGAAGATTAAATGTGCTGCCATGTTTTACATTCATCCTCAAACTCTGTCTTTCCCGGTACCAAGTCCGGATGAAAAAGGAGGGGGAGCAGTAACAAACTCACTAAAAAAACTGGGCTCAGCTGGTCTGGCTGATAGTACCCTGTAAGGGCTCCTGATCCAAGGATACAGGATGAGCAGCGTTTGTACTCCATGTTAGGAGCGGCTGTACATGGCGTCTGTTCCTCATGTAAGAGGCGGCCATTTCTTTTGGAGCTAAGTCGGCCTGCTACTGAGTAGTGCTCCCAGTCTTAATGACAAAGGCTGACGCATTCTACTTCACCCAGTGTGGAGATAAGAAAGAGGAAGACATTCATACTCTCAGACACATACATGTATTTAAATGTGTGCCACAGAGAGAGAAAGACACTAGAGGACAGACACACATGTATTTTAAATGTCACAACTAATGTGTCACAGAGACACTGGAGGACACAGGTTGGGCAATCTTATGAAAGATAGATGAGAAGATGAGCTGGCAACAACGTAAGTCAGTGATTTGGCTGGTAGGAGCTTCTTCCCTTTGAGATCAATTAGGAAACTGTTCTGTATTGATTGAAGCACACACATAGCATCCTGACATCTACAAGACATTGGAATACCTGAACTCTACGTTATACAGTAGAACCTCCCTGTAAAGGACAACACCTAATTACAGAGCCAAAGTGTCCTTTAGGGAAAGGTGTCCTTTTACTGGAGAGTTGCTAAATAGTAAAAATGGTAATTTTACAAATGAAAACTGTCCTTTATAGAGAGATGTCCTCTAGCCGGAGTGTCCTCTCATGGAGGTTCTACTGTACAAGCTCTGTGTGATGCAAGACAGCTACCTGCTTCCAATGTCTTCATCAGACTGCAGTGCCCACATATATTAGCAGTGTATTATGTCCTAATAACAATAGGTTTTACACACAAGGTAATAAGACCAAATAAATAAATAGCGTGTGATATTTCGGTAACAACGCTGTTACCGAAACGTCGCACACTATTCATTTGGATTTGGTCTTATTACCTTGTGATTATAATCTATAATCTAAATTGTACCTTAGCAATAGGTTTTTACCAAAACAACACACCTATTTTTTTACTAATTCAGCTTTATTTTTATTAACAGTTATCTATAATCCAAATTGTGTGTGTTATCATATGTATAAACCAGTCTGTT